CTACTAGGTTCCTGCATAGCATACTTTTTCATGTTTTAGTCTGCGTGAGGCAGCTAGTAGAGGTGAGCCTGGAAGCGGTGCCACCAGGCTTATCTCTATTAGCTATTTCAGGGGGGCTAAAATTTTCTAAAGTGTACCGTACCGAATTCCTTCAGATTTTTGTTACAAAATATATCATTTTTCAGTTTGCCAATGAATTTGAATTATTTGTAGTGTATCAAAAAAATTTCAAAAGAAGACACATAGATGATTTTGAAAATTAAAAATGAACCGATTCCAGCTTTGATCGAATTCGAATAATTGGAATCGTAGTCAGAACAGTACAAATTATTGTTTGAAGTCCGGAACAGTGTACTGATGGTCTGGGATGCGCTGCCATAAAGCCAAGCAGCAATGCACTGGCGATGATGAGTGCCAAGCAAATCAATGTAGGCTTTGAGGGACGAGCTGGTAACCAATGTGCGACCTAATTCGGACAATCGCGGCGTTACGCTTGTACTTCTGCAACAAAATTATGAGCTGCTTGCAACCCCATAAATGCTCGCAGAGAAATTTAAAGTCTGGCGATACTTTTTTCTGGCAGATTCGAGAAGCTGAATGCCAGTGTGATCTTTTGCTTCTTTGTTTGTCCACTCATCTGAGACGATCATCTGTTCAAGCTGCTGCACAACATGACTAATGCCTCCATCGGTGTTCGGTGCCTGGCGCGTGCTGCTTCGTTTCGGGTGCTCTGCATTCTAAATAATTCTCATTAAGCGCTCCCAAGATAACGAGTGTAATAGTTGTCTTAAATTGCTACTACGCAAAGGCATCCAGGGTTAGCCGCAAACCTCCTGTTCACCCCATAAAATCTGAAGCATCTTTTTTGATGATCGCCGAAGCAGCTAATTTCCTGCAAAACATAATGAAGTGCAGCTGGACAAGGAACTGAAGGGGTCTGAACTGCCGATTCGCAATCAGTGAGGCACCCAGGAGCGACTCTAGCCGCGCTAAAACCATCCGCAGTTAATAAAGTTAGCCTGGAGGGAGTCCAGCCAAACGCAAAAAATCTGCTCAGCCGGGCATAACTTCGGTGGAGGGATTCTAAACTGGTCGAAAAGCAAGAAACTGGGCCCAGCAAGTCACACACAGTATCAAATTAATCAGAAAAGAAGCAGCAACGAAAAGCAGAAATT